GGCCAGGAGAGCAAGGCAGTAATGCTTTATTTGCTTATTCTGAAGATGTAAATTGAAATGGAGACTTATATTGCCTAAGTCTGAATCTGTGAATGGATCAATTAAAGGGGGTGCCTCCAAATGYAGAGTCCAAAGACCAGGCTAAAGTGCTGCATTCTTTCCACTATTCTGCAAAATTATAGTTTAATGGGGAAAAAATAATTGCATCTATATTTCTAGCACATTTCATGAGTGCTTTGCCTCATGGATTTACCAGGATTTTAATCTAGTTCAAATGTCTCTTGGTTTTTCAGAAGATCMTCTTAATGGCTTGAGTTAAATATGATTTTATGAGACAAAAACGTTTTGTGCATCTTCTAATATGGTGCCAGAGTGAAATAAATTGCACCTTGGKTTTGATTACTGGTAGTTTGAGTTAATGGGAAAGGGTAAGATGAAGAAAAAACACATTTCAAGGTTATGTGACTTTATTAAATTATGTTTACAGGTTTACTTGTCACAATTTTGTAACAAAATGRTTTTTCTGGCATCTGTTTTTTAGTATTTGTTACTGATTAGTGCCTGCAAATTACCTTTTATCAGAATCATGTTCTTGTGGTCATACTGTAGTCTAATAAATCAGACTTGTCACAGCTCATGTACTTTGCTATAGTTAGGTTTTGCTTGTGCTTTTCTGGCTGGTGCATCTCCTGGTTCTCTCTCTTCCCCAACATTTTCAAATAAAGATGACTCCATTTTTGTGAATGGGAAGGAAATGAAGAGTAAAGTAGAGAGGCTGTGGTTGTGGCTCAGTGGTAGTGCACTTGTATAGCATGCCTGAGGCACAGAGTTCAGTCCCCAGCCCCACATAAAAATAAACAAATTAAGTAAAGATACTGTATCCATCTATTTTTTTTTTAAAAAAAGAGACTTTATTGAGGGCAAGAGGATGCAAACAATATAAAAATCAAAAGCTTTAGCTTTCTCTGTTTGTCAAATGGGAGTTGGAYGTTATTTGCGCATTTTCTAAGGGTCCTGATCCTCCTGAAATCTTTACACAAGGGGGAWCGGTGGGGCAGGTTCCTTAAGCAACCCTTTGGGAGATCTTTATAGGGCGGGGATAATTGCTGGATTCTTTACTTCTTTCCCTTCTGCTTCATGTGTACCACAAAATAGTCATTGCATGCGATGGTGAGGCC